TTTATCATGTTTTTCTGGGAACAAATTCCGCAACGTTTTTATTAAAAGAGGTACTCTGATTTTTATAAAGAATAAAAATAAATCGGTCTTTTCTGACCGTGAAAAATGGGATGTCACAATTGTGTATGGTGAAAAATTGTTGTGTACGACTCACTTTCCATAAAATGCTTAAGAATCTCATCAAATAAGCATTTAAAGGGTTGACAAAGACATAACTGAATAATAAGGTCATAACTAAATATTAATGCTACACATTTAAAACCTTAAAAGTTCTCCTCCCCCTTTAATGATTGGTGTTGCATCTCCCTCTACATTTCTTTTCGTTGACTTGAAGCAAGCACAAGGAAGACCAATCTTAATATGTTAGTTGGTCTAACAATTCATGTTCTTACTATGTGTGGATTATCGGTAAAGGTTATATTTTCTTGATAATTGTTCTCCAACACCAAATGACAACATAATTGAGATAGTAATTTTAACACCATATGACAAATATATTGGAGGTTTTTTTTTTTTTTTTAAAGAAAAACACACATACCTCCTACTATTCCCCAACATCAAATGACAACAACATGAATCAAGTAGTAATTATAATATAATATGGTTGATAATTAGTTGATTTATGTTTGTCCTAAGTACATATATGGCTATTAAGGATAAAAAAATCCAAAATTGTTAATTTGTTTTCATTGTGCATAATTACTTAAACGTATTAGAATCACCGGTACCAACACATAAGTTATGCAAACTTGAACTTGATGCTATAGAAGTTATACATTTCACACCATGAAACCATTAGGACTGTCAAAAATACATGGAACTTACGGAAAAAAACCGAACCTAAACTTTTCGGGACAAATTTTAGGTCAAGTAAATGGTTATGGGACCATGTATGAGATATTTTCTAACAAAAATAAAGGTTTGTGATGGTTATAATATTATGGTTATACTCGTCCAAGTATCTATTTACATGTTCCTGAACCATTTATATTTTATAATACTTATAATTCTATTATTAATTTATATGATTTCAAAGTTATATTTAAATAATGTATGGTATATTATAAATAAAAAGTTTCTTATGTAATTACTATTTACTTTTGAAAATGGAAACTATTGATATTATTTTTAATATTCATATTATGATCTTGATTATTTTATCATGGAATTCAAATAGTTTTTATGGTAATGATTATGTTTATGCTACATTTGTTAGAAAATAAACTTGTTGATATTGTTAGAAACTGAAATTATTAAACAAATCAAGTCATTTTTTTAATGCGATTGAGATTGGGCTTCAAATAACGAAAGTTCTAATGGGTAAAACTGAACTTGTTAATAACATAAACGAGATAACAAAACCTGCACATATACTCGCAAACCCAATAGGTATTTACTAATATAGTACCCGATGGAACCGAACCAAGTTTGGGATATAATTTTATAATCAGATATGAGACTAGAATCACTAATACTCATCTCATACCCATCCAATTGTCATCCCTAAAAATCATACATATGTATACCGATGCAACATGTGTGTGAGAGCCATGAGAAACTGTCTAAAAGAATCCTCCAATATGGCAAAATGAAAGATAGATATAACAAAAAGAGTCCCAATGGGTGTTTGAGAGTACTTTTTAAAATGACTTATTAACTTATTGACTTCTTGAAAAGCTAATAAGTTAAAAAGTGTTTGACACGCACTAACTTTACAAAAAAAAAAAAAAAAAAAAAAACTTTTTCAAAAAGTCATGAATTTCTGGCTTTTCCAAAAAGCCAATAAACATTTTGAGAAACAATCCCAAACACACCCAAAAATGGAATCATACAAGTGCAAGGCACATGAAAAGTCATTTTGATTTATAGTTTTTTCCAAAAGAAGTTTTAAAATGTATTTGGATAACGTTTGAGGGAGACAAAAACCAAAAAAACAAAAGTCACAAAAAGTCATAAATTTATGGCTTTTAAAATGACATTTTTTTCTTTTAGGCAAAAAGTCAATCTAAAATAACTTTTGAAATTGTCAAACACCTTTTTATAGACTTTTAGTTTTTTAAAAAAGTCACAAGTCCAAAAATCATTTTGAAAAACAATTTCAAACACCTGAAAGGGTTAAAACGGCAGCAACATAGCACACGTTTGGATACAGGGACCAAGTTTGCAAGAAACCAACCTTGTGGCTTGAAGTGTTAAGATGACCAAACATGTAATTTACCTCGAAATTTCTTTCTATCGAGCGGTATCGAACCCTAATCCCAAGTAGCTCTTCTGCTGGCTAACACGGTTACACCTACACGGCTACACCCATACTCAATAGTCGACAAGAGCAGTTTGGGCTTCCCCTCAGATGCACAAATGTTGGACCCAAATCGGTGATCAGTTCAAAAACACCTTCCCACTTCCACCGCACCATTCAAACCACTGCGAAAGAGAACAACAGCTGAGGAGAGATGCAGGAGAAAACCAAGTGTCTGGCTTTGATCGGTGCCGGTGCTCTTTTGGGCTCCATTACTGCCACCGTAGCCGTTCTCAAGCTTCTTCCCACCAGGTATTTCGACCATGTTACTTCGACACCACCTGAGCAATAATATCTTCAATGGTCACCCCTTTCCCTCTTATAATCAGCAAAAGATAAGCGTAGTAAAGTACTAAAATTTCACACCAAAACAGCCGAGAAACTTTGGTTTGATTGCTATTATTATATTTTTTTTGCAGAGAAGCTACGGTTAAACGCAGTAATGATGCCAATTCAAATGGTAATTTCATCTTCTTCTGCGTATTTGATTATGTCTCTATCAGCTAACAACCAATTGCCCTTGTGCTCTTTCCACTTGCTGTTGACATTCCTACAATTGTTTCATAGGTAAATCAGTTTTATCTGCTCCAGCTGAAGGCAATGCTTCTCTAAAAGAGGAAACGTATAAGATGGACCCTGTAGGCCTTTTGAAAGACGAAATAGTTTCTGAACAGCTCACCAGGTACTTTTACCCATGCTATCTTCAACATCTTTCTTCAATCCCATCAATACGTGTATCAATAAACCCTAAACCCTAATTATTTTCATTAGGAATATCCAGTTCTTTGGTTTTGATGCCCAACAAAAAGTGACAACATCTTATGTTGTAGTCATTGGCCTTGGAGGTGTAGGGAGTCATGCTGCATCAATGCTCTTAAGATCAGGAGTTGGAAGACTCCTCCTTGTTGACTTTGACCAGGTATCTTATATCCTTTATCATATTCATATGTTCATAACTTTATATATTCATTCACCAATCATCACTTGGCTTTACTTTATCATATTACAAGGTTTCACTTTCATCTTTGAATCGACATGCGGTTGCTACAAGAAAAGATGTTGGCACCCCAAAAGCTTTATGCCTTACGAAACACTTCTCATCCATTTATCCAGAATGCCACATAGACGCAAAGGTCCTCTTATATGATGCTTCCTCAGAAGAAGAAATTCTCTCTGGTGACCCTGATTTTGTTTTGGATTGTATTGATAACATTGATACAAAGGTACATCAAGTCTTTTTGTTACAAAAGTCACAAACTTACACATATATGAATATATATGATATACATATGCATCATAACATACACATATATCAATTGAGATCCCTGCTTCTGTAGTTGAATCCATTAAAGATTTTTTCTCAACATGTATGACAGGTGGCACTTCTTGCTGCATGTGTACGTAGAGGTTTAAAAGTTTTGTCTGCTACAGGAGCCGGAGCAAGAGCGGACCCCACAAGAATCCGTGTGGCTGATTTAAGAGAATCCACCAATGATCCACTTTCTAGATCAGTAATGTTTCTATTTTGTACAATTCTATATAATAAAATTGCTTGTGAATAAAAAACTTAATTTGGTATTATATCTGTTTTGTAGGTTAGACAACGTTTAAGGAGAGATCATGGGATTGAAGGTGGGATTCCTGTAGTTTTCTCTTTGGAAAAACCAAAAGCAAAGTTGCTTCCTTTTAAAGGACCTAATGGAGATGAAGAGCATCCTTCAGATTATCAAGTGAGGATATTTAGTTATTTAATAAAAATAGTAAATACTAAGTTTCTTTTTGTATGAATTTGACATTTAAATCTGGAAACATTTACATGAGATTAGGTGGTTCCTGGATTCAGGGTTCGAATAATTCCTGTTTTGGGAACAATTCCTGCAATTTTTGGACAAATAATGGCATCATATGTTGTGACAAAACTAGCAGAATTTCAAGTCCAGATGGAGCCCATTGTGAACTTTGACATGGATCATTACAGAGTGCTACATCAGCGCCTTATTGAGCATGAGGAGTTGATTTATGGCACATCTATTCAAGTTCAGGTATTACGTTTTTACCCCTTATACTAATACTTTTTTACAAAACCAGTCCTCCGCATCAAAAAACATTTTGTTACAATGTATTGAAGGTGGATGTTGAAGAAGTGATGTATGTTGTTAAAGAATTATGGCATGGAAGAAGTGCAAGAGATGAAACTAGAAAAGAAGTTGGGCGTGGAATGTGGCGTTCTGTCAAGGAATTGATGCTTGTGAGGTATGCTGAAGGGTATTTTGGACATTTTACACTTACTTATTAACTTACCTGTTTGCTCATATTGAGTTAAGATGTGTGAGTTCATTTTTCATTGTGGCAGATGGGACAAGTCAAAGCCAGCATCTGCATCAAATCTAATCCTTCTAAAATTTACAGAGGTTTTTGTTTAACGCTATTTTAACTTAATATAGTAATTATTTGTGAATATTTTTAAAAGAAAACTAATATGTAATTACTATTGTTTAAAAGTGGGAATTGAGCTAATTTATGTTTTTGTGTACTAAAAAATTAGGCGGATGAACATGAATCAACAACACTTGAAGATATAAAGGAGAATGAGCCAGAATTTTTCACAAGGGTAACATCCAGATTGAAACGAGCTGAATTAGACTATTATGAACAAATTATGTAGCAATAAATGACATTTATTTTTGTAATTTTGGTAGATGCCATTGTTGTATGGTTTATAGAAGTTGGTTTCTGCTTATAGTTTGTTGACCAATGGTGTTGGAAGGAATATGATAATGAATTTTTGAATGTAGTTTACATTAGGGATGGATTTAAGGTTCTATATATTTTAACATAATCAACAAACAGGGACATAAAGTAATATGGTAACTGGTAATCTATATATGTGTTTATATTGACTTAATGCACAAAGAACAGCTTAATAAGCAAACTAGGGAAAGGGAATTTCCACTGTTAAGTTTTAATTATTAAAAAAAATTCTCCTTTCAATTATTTTTTTTATAGGGAAGTTTACATAAAAAAGCCACTATATATTTGTCATTTTTAATTTTTTATGTATTCAGTTTTGCTAAAGTGAAATCTTGACACTATATATTCCAATATTATTTGACAAAATTTTCTATCAGTTTAACCTGTAACATGTCATAGCAAGTTAACGTGGTATGTACAAAAATTGTCATTTTAAAGTGATTTTTATGTCATTGATGAAACTAAAATATAATTATTAAATCACGTAGAACAGCTAAAATATAGTGATTTTTGTGTATTTTGTCCTTACTATTGCTCGTAGTATGCAAATATTTTTCTCAAATATTAATTTGGATAGTAGGTGAAAGCTATTAACCAGGGATTTTGTGCCCAACTTATACACGTTTTACAAAAGAATGTATATGTATTTGTAGTTGTTTAGGACTGATTTATTGACCATTTTTTAGAATGGAATTATTACAACTGGTTGACCATCGATTTGTAGTAGTATAGAACATTTAAAATACAACAAATCATTTTAAATGGATGGAATTCAAATTATGTTGTTATTTTGTGTAAGATTGTACACTATCTAAATAGTTAGAGACATATTTATACAATAATGTTTTTCAATTCTTTTTTTCAATTTATGTAACTATGTAGTTCTTTTTGTTTGATTATAAAATCAAAATATACAACATTGTAACAGGGAAACAATTACCTTGTGGTGTGACACCAACTAAGTGTTTGTTTATTCAACTATGTTTTTTTTTCTTTTTTTTTTTTGCCAATTTACAACAATATTTAACTTTTTACCAAATTATGCATTAATATTTTTATTTTTATTTTAAAATTTATGCAACTAACACAAATTATGTATTCGTGTTTCACCGGATTAAAAAGATATACTTGCATAATATTACATCTTTTTACCCACCGATGAAATCTTGTTGATATTTTGGTATAAAAACTAAATTCAGAAGAATTCGGAACGTTAATAACACCCATCTAATTCTTATCTAAAGCTAGAAATTGACTTTATGGTGTTATATGGCATCTCTATTTTAAAGATTTGAACAAATAAGATCAGGAAAACACTCTATAGGCAAGGTTCTAAATAACGTAAGGCGTGACTTGGCGGTAATGTCAAGCCTCAAGTTTTTCCGAGCCTTGGCGAACCACGTCGTTTGTAAGACGTCACTTACGGCGGCAAATTTGTATATAATTAATATTTTTATATGTATTTTCAGCTATTATTCTATTTTATACACATATATAAGTTAAGACGGCGTTTTGGTAAAGCTCGGCGGCATGCACAAGCCTTGGAGCCATGGCGCACCATGGCGGAACCGTGGCGAGCTTTTTAGAACCTTGTCTATAGGTGAAACATGGACGAAGTATGTAATTCTAGTATGACAATTGTATAGTATAGCAATTGTATAAACAATTCTAGTATAGCAATTGTATAAACACAGAC